TCTAGGGCACTCTGAATCCTAGCCCTACCCTCCAGCATACCTACTACATTCCCCAACTTGGTGTCATACACAAACTTATTAAGGATGCAATGTATCCCATCTTCCAGATTGTTAATGAAGATATTGAACACAACTGGTGCCAGAACTGACCCCTGTGGCACTCTGCTTGACACTGGCTGCCAACTAGACATTGAGCCTGACAATCCAGCCAGCTTTCTATTTACCTTACAGTCCATTCATCCAACCAACCCATACTTCCTCAGCTTTCTTGCAATACTGTGAGAGACTATATTAAAAGCCTTGCTAAAGTCAAGGTATATTATGTCCACTGCTTCCCCTGCGTCCACAGAGCCAGTCATCTCATGATAGAAGGCAATCAGGTTGGCCAGGCAGGACTTGCCCTTGGTGAATCCATGCTGACTGTTCCTAATCACCTTCTCCTCCAAGTGCTTAGAAACGGATTCCTTGAGGACCTGCTCCATGATTTTTCCAGGGGCTGAGGTGAGGCTGACTGGTCTGTAGTTCCCTGGATTTTCTATCTTCCCTTTCTTAAAGATAGGCACTATATTTGCCCTTTTCCAATCATTTGCCATAGACTTTTCAAAGATAATAGCAGCTCTGCAAATCACATCAGCCAACTCCCTCAGCACCCTCAGATGCGTTGGATCCAGCCCCAGGGACTTGTATGCGTCCAGCTTTTCTAAATAGTCCCCAACCTACTCTTTCAACAATGAGGCCTGCTCACCTTCTCCCCAAACTGTGCTGCCAGGTGCACTAGTGTGGGAGATAAACTTGCCTGTGAAGACAGAGATGAAAAAGGAATCAAGTACTTCAGCTTTTTCCTCATCAGTCACTAGTTTGCCTCCCCCATTCAGTAAGGGACCCACACTTTCCCTGAACTTCCTCTTGCTGCAAACATACTTATAGAAACCCTTCTTGCTGCCCTTCATGTCCCTTGCTAGCTGCAACTCCAGTTGTGCTTTAGACATATATTCTAACCCCTGGATATTACTATGATGAGAAGAACTAGTGAAATATTTTCTCCTAGAAACCTGAGCATTGAATGCAACAGAATAAATGTGGGTCAGGCAATGAACCCCATCCTCACACCAGACACACACCATTCAAAATTTTCAGTTTAAATTTTAAAGTTTTAGACAAGGAAAGAGCTTTTCCAAAAGGTTTTGCTTTAGGGAAATAACTATTTTCCATGAGGAATTATTATTACAAAAAATAGAAAAACTCCAACCAGCCCTGTTTGGAAGAAATTAAAAGAAAAGTTGCCATTCTATCTAACCCATCCCTCCCTGGCTACACTCTTGGTCCTCCTAGCACTTCGCTTGAGTGCACCTCTTACCACCTACTTTGTCTCCCACTTACACATGTTTAACCAATTAGCAGCTTTAGCTTTCCTTCTAGTTTCAGGCCATTGGTCTTTGTCCCGATATCATCTGAATAAAACACCCCCCTCTTTCGTTTGTTACCTGATGCTACGTGTGTCCTGGTATTGTGTCCAGCCTCTATGTCTTTCTCCTTCTGGACTGTATAAATAAAGCTTCCTCATTCTTGGTGTTTTAACAGCACAGCCAAGAGTGTAACCCAGGAGTCCCACTTCCCCTACCCTCCAGTAATGACATAACAATATTCCTTTACCAGACTGAAATAAAGAGGTCTTTGGGTACTTTTAAGTGACTACTGAAGCAAATCTGGAAGTACAGGGATGAAGCAGAGAAAGATTTTCTAAAAGTGCTGGAGGCCAGGACAGAGATTCATAATGATGAAAACATAAGAGTAAATAAGTGGGTTTTTTTCATAGAAATTAAACTTCCCTGTGATAAGCCATAGGCTTGTTTGAGGTGTGTGTAATATATAGCGGGTGTTTGAAAAACTGCTTAATAACTTTCTTCCCCAGCATTCTAGGAGTCTTTATGGGATCCGTCTTGTGCTGTATCATCCTTGGCTTCTGCACAGATGAATGGTGGGAAGATTGACAGGATCAATGCACAATAGCCACAGACAGCTGCAGTCTCTGCATACAAGTCAGAGCAAAGACTTCTGTCTCTTAGCTTTCTGGTTTCAACAAATCCAACCCAAGGGTTTACCTCTTTTCAGTAAGTCCAGTTTTCTCCAGCACTGTTCCAGCATAGTGAAGTAACTATGGAAATCAGTGAAGTAACCTGAGCTGAACTTTGCAGTAATCTTGGAAAGCACTGGTCACACTTCAATGGAGCTGATCCTAATTTACACTGAGGGGAATGTAGAATCTACAGGGGATATGGGGTGGTATGGAAAAGGATGGAGGTTGTATTAGTCTAGTGTATGGTTTGGAAAGATTGGAACAACTCACCACTCATGGGTTATTCAGCCACCCAGACCTCAAACACACTAAACTGCTTAAGTTGTATTCTCTCTTGAACAATTTTCTAGAGCACAGGTTAAGCTTCAGCTCAGTTAGAAACACAGAGAAATCTAAATTAATACCTCAGCATGATTCACTTTGCACCACATGTACGTCATATGTGGCTAGGCACAGATTATGGTTTCTGCAGCCAAACCTGACAGCAAATCGCTTGCCTCAGAAAATGTATGACATTGGTGAATTTAACACACTTACATCAGTAGTATTTCCCTCCTGCTCTTCCAGTTTCTCTGGGAGTTCTCCTTTGTGACCTGTCCATGGTGCTGAATATTAAACCCAAGGCTAGCCTTACTGTGTTGTCAAGTTCATGCTTTAGCTACAAAATACTGTTGACTTGCTTCTCAGTTTCTCCATTTCTGCACTTGGAGTACAGATGACAGAAGCTAGACTGGGGTGCCATACGTACAGCCCACAGGCTGGATCCAACCTGTGGAGCCACGTGATCCAGCCCATGAGTTGCTGGCCCAACCCCAAGCCCCAGCCCCGCATGCAGAACCCAGGCTGGACCCAGTCCCATATACCCTACACACAGACCAGGGGGCCAACATGAAGTGCACTCTGTATGTGATCCTCTTCCAGACTGGTCTTGCATGCTGGCTCTGGAACCAGTCCAGATCAGGCTGTGCTGGAACCAGCACACAGGGCAAGTCCAGTGGAGTGCAACGTGCCACCCACACCCCATGCCTGCCCCCTGTCCAGTATGCAGTACATGTGGACATCCAGTCCCACATGCCACATATACCATGCCCCAGCCACAGGGCTCACTGTACACATAGGGCTAGCATGGAGCATGCGCTCCCCATGGCGCATGGACTGGACCCAGCTCTGCATGCATCTCAGGGGATCTGGGGTGTAGCCTGTCTGTGGCACCCTGGGCCAACCCCACACCCATGCTGCCTACAGTATTGGGTCTGACCCATATGCCACAGGAAGCACATGACCGATGCTGGCCCTGCAGGACGTTGACACTGAGCCCTAGGGGCAGGCATACTGCATGAAGCACAAGGCCTAGAACTGGCACTGCACAGGGGGTTAGGTGCAGTCTAGCTTGCAGACCACCCCAATGACCCTCATTTGGTCCACTGGCCAGGTGAGTTTGACACCCCTGCTGTAAACCACTTCTGCATTCCTTTTAGACAGCAGACATGCACAAGGGGGGGGAAGCACAGGGTGCACTCTGTATGTGGTGCTCTGGCATAAGTTAGAGCTGCCCCAGAGCTGCTGTAACTTTTGCTCTGGTTTTGATATCTTTCTAGATAAGCAGAGAATAGCTGAAGTACACCGCATTTCAACTGCAACAAGGATTCAGGGATCCCATGTACCCCTTTGACTAACCTGACACTGGCCTCCTCTCTTCCTGTTTCATATGGGGGTGGGGGTGTGTGATTATATTTATTCTGAAGTCCCTTGATGCTGCCAGGGAAGCCCAAAGGGCTTAGTATAATAAACCCAAAGGGCTTCCATCCAGAAAGACCACAGACCAACTGCAGATGCTTCCACAGCCTGATAAAGGGTGTTTGTGCCCAAAATCTTGCAAAGAAGAATTTTTTCCAACTATTTGAGTTGGTCTAATAAAAGATAAATCAGAGTTACCCAAAGCACCTTGCCTGTCTTAGTATGAAACTGAGACTCAGGCCCACTGTTGTTCTAATTAAAGCAAGCTGGTAGGCATGATGGCAGCATGCATTTACAGTGAATACCTGAGGTACTTTAATCCCATTCTTGTTTTTTCTCCCTACTAGAAATACAACATCTTTGAAGATAATATAAATGTTTCTGCATCACAAAACAGGTCTTAATCTCAATTCCAATGAAGTGATACTATCAAGTAGCTTCTTGGTATTACAACACAATGAGATTTAGGGCTTCTGTTGCTGACATTTTGCCTTCTTTGGCTAACCTTGGTTAGGACACTTGACTGGGAAAATGACCTCATTAAAGCAGATGCAAACATATTGTAGGATATGATCCTGCACTGCCAACATATTGCTAAAAGTTGATTGAAGAACTGGAGGATAGGGATTTAATTTTTTTAAAAATTTAAATGTGGATGTAATGAATTTTTCAAACAGCTTTGCAGATTGTGAACGAATAAACTCAGGAACGTGGTAATATTATGTGTAGATGTTATTTCCATGACTTGTATCTCACTTTTATGTTTCCATTCTTTTGTGTTTGCTTTAAAAAAGGATCAAGGCCCTCCCAGTTGTGTATAAGTAAAACAAATTCAACAGCAAGAGATTCTTCACTTTGAGACATCCTGTAGGTCTTTTCTATCTCTATTTTTCCATAAAGCTTAACCAGCTGCATGGCTCCCTTTAGCCCGGAACCGAATCAGGAATTAATTCTCTCTAACAACTATTCACTATGTAACAAAATATACGAAGGCATCTTCTCTCTCTTCATATTCATAGGATTTTTATGCTGAAGCAATCAAAAGGGAGAGAAGCCTTGTAAGATCAAATCCTTAAAAATGGCTTAAAAAATTCAACAACTAAAAATTCCTCCAAGTGTTCCAATTCTATCATTCATAATTGAAACAAACCCAGTTTATAATATAAGGACAGTAAACATTGCCTACCTGAGGACTTGTATGAGACACAAAATTCATGCCCGGACTTGAGGATAGAGAAACAGAATGAGATCCAATGGATGAAGCAATGACTCTGTATGGTGAACCCAGGGCATTCATAGAAGACCCTATAGCATTCATTGGGGATGAAAGTGTCCTTGCAGCACTCACTGGAGCCTCGATGTAGTTAAGATGGCCATCCACTGAATTCCCTGTGTGAAGGCTCAATGAGGGGCTCACATTCGTGGAATTGGTGTGAACAGGAGAATCTAAAAGTAGGGTAGAATGAAAGATATAGTAACCAACACAAGCCACTGGGATTTTGGTGACTGGGACTGGCATTACTGGCTTTTAGACTAGAGATGACAAACTCATGTCTAACTGGGTCCACCGAAACAAAAACAAAACCCAACCACTACTACCTTCAGGCATTAGTGGTCTGGGCTCAAATCTGAGTTGTGACCAGGAGCTGAATGGCTCTGCACCTTGTCCAAATGTTCAAACTGAAAGCTTCTCTCTCTCTCTTTATGAAGTGAGTACTACAGATTCTGTTTAAGATTTAAAGCTAAAGTTCAAGATAAAAATAAAACACACACTGAAATTATAAAGTAAGCCTTTGAAACTAGAACAAAGCCAAACATTCCTCTAGGTCCGACTGAACAACCCAGAAAACAACAGAAAAAAAAAAAAAGACCTCCGAGATGAATGCTTTTGGAAAGTGTGCCACTCTTAAAAAGAGGCTGGCCCTTAGAGAATCTTTATTATACAATGCATTTCTCCTGTTCTTCAGTCAAGGTCCTCCCTGCAGCAGTCTCTGAGAGAACAGTTTCCTTACTCGGAAGGCATCAGGAAATAAGAATTTTCCATACAAAAATCATCTCTTCCTCCTGCAGAACAATTATGCCCCCACACTGTAAGATAAATATCATCTCTATTTAACAGAGGAATACTGAGACAAAAGTGAAGTGTGCCTTAAAACTGCACTGCACACTGCTAGCAGTTAGGATTAGTACCCAGATACCCTGCTTTCTGTCCCTTTGCTCTACCTATTAATCAAGATGGCTTCTCTGCCTTCAAGGCTTCTGTTGCTGTCATTGCTACCGCATCCTTTTCCTGCATGTTTGCTTTTCCACTGGGAAAATTGATCCAAGAAGCAAAAGAAAGAACTGACAAAGACCTTTTTCCTTTCCCTGTGCAAAATTCAATCTGAAATAGGTTGATAGCAGCAGAATCCAGTCCTCTGACTCTGACAAATGTCTTTAATGTTATTCAGGAAGTTGACCTTTTCCCATCTTTATTGTGCATCTTTCCTTTGAATCAGATTTGATTGTTACTTCAGGTAAAATAACAAACACTGTCACATAAATAACTCTGCAGTAATGTTAAAAGAAAAACTGCCTTACTAACAAAGTCAATAGAAACAAACATACTCTGTGCCAGCAATGGAAAAAGTCAACTGTGATGACCTTACCACTGTTCATAATCACCTCTCTGATCACTGGGGACTATTCCAACTCACAGGGATAGAGGCTCTGCCCCGAGAAACTAGCAGATAAATATTCTTCCACTGAATAGTTAAATAGTAAGTACTACAAAATTAGGGATGGACCAATAAATTCAGGAACACAGGAAGGAAAAGCAAGTTGCACAAAAGTCAAAGGCTCACTTAGTGGTTAAAGCATGGGTGGGCAAAATGCAGCCTGTGGGCTGGATGTGGCCTGCCAGGCCATTCTATCCAGCCTGCAGGGCCCCTAAAAAATTTAGAAAATTTATATTCATCTGCCCCTGGCTGCCCGTCATACAGCCCTTGATGGCTTGCCAAAACTTGGTAAGTGCCCTGGGCTAAAGGCTATGCCCAGATCTTGTGAGATACCAGTTCAGTTCTGGACATTGCCCCAGAATTCTTGTGCAATATGGATTGATGTCATTTCAGTTTTTTTTCTTTGGAAAAACACTGGATGTTCCTCAGCTGTAGAAGCCAGCTGAAAACCGCAGCACTTGCATCTGCCCTTCAGAGTTCCTGTGAGGCTTGGTTCATTAATGTACCCTTAAAGTATTGCGATTCTCATTTCTATGAGGAATGACTGGCAAGGATAGATGAGATTATAAAATCTGCCTATGCAAATATCTATGTGGTCGCTGTCCTTATTGTAGTCAAGAACTTCACAAACATTAGTGAATTCATCTTTCTTCACAACGCTCCTCTCAAGAGGGTTCCATCAACAAAAAACTTCTTATATATGGATAACTGAGGCGTGGAAAGTAACTTGGGATTTTTTGTTACAAGGAAATTGACCAGAATAATTACTGAAGGATAAGCTATTCTACAATAGCTGTTTTAACATAGCTTCATGTATGGACACTGTACTAGAATAAATTATTTTATTCCAGAATAATTAGTATGCTTTAAAAGGGAAGTAATTAAATTATGAATAAAACAAACAAACAAACAAAACTACTCTCATTTTGCAGTAGTGTTCAGATGATGATTTATTTAAAAGTAGCTCATCTGGTCAATTCTACCCAAGTAGACAGGTTTGAGGATTAATTCTAGGACTCCTGAGTACCGGCCTCAGCAGCAAAGCCAGCCCCTTCTTTCTTTTATTTCGCATCATATTATAACTCAAGTTAGCCATTGGATTTGCCACATGCGAGTATAACAGATGCAAAGCATCTAATAATCTACATGGTAAACACAGAAATACCCCTGTCCCAGAGCAGGTATACTGTCAGAATGTGCCATTGCCAAACATGCTCTGCCCACCCAAATCTGGAAACACACTGGTGAGGTGACTTTAGGACATCCTCTATAGCTGATCTTGGGATTTCAGTGTTCAACATGCTTGAGGGGCCACAAAGAAGGATCCTGGATGGGCCTCACCTGTGCATTCCCAGGTGTGGAGCAGGCAAGAGGGAGCAGGTGGATGGAGTGGGCTTCAAAATGAACTAGCCAAAGCATGTAACCACAGCAAAGAGGCACCCCAAGAGTGGTTGGATCTTCAGCCCGATAACTAGGCCCAACCCCACCATCACCTGCCCATTCAGAATACAGAAAAAAAAAAAATCATATTTCATGTAACAGGGTGGTTTCCCAAGGGAAATAAGATTAAAATGAAAACTACTCTTGATACTGTAGCATATGAGGGGGAAAAAAACAACAAAATCCTGTTCTTGCAATTGCCTAAAGAAAAATCGCAAGGATGGAAAAAGCTTAGGGAAAACTGCTAAATGGGATGACCTCATCAAGTAGATACATTTCATGGTAGAAAAACCATGCACCCTAGAGTTGTGATGGAGCCTAAATCTACAAGACTGGAACAGAGCATTACCTAGAGGAGACAGTACTAGAGACAAGGAAATTAAACAGTGTCCAGAGTCCCAGTGTCCTGGGTACCAGATAAAACCAGAGAAAGATGGATCATTTTTCACTAGCCACATTTAATATCCCACCAGGGCATCTGGTCAAGGAAGCGTTTCAAGCAGCCTTTTTAATTGAAAAAGATCTTTCATATTTTAAAAAAAAAAAATTTAAACCAACTCTTACTTTAATTTCTCTCTTGCATCTTTGCAAAAAGCTTTTCTATGCATTACTGAAGTTATTGATTTAATCAAAAATCCTTTTGTGGGGGTGGGGAGATAAGCATTTAAGTAATGTGTTTCTAGTATCTTGGATGAAAAAGAAAGTCACAGTTTATACAAAGAGAAAATTGGACTTATTTATTACCCCTGTGAAACAGAATAAAAATTCAGAATATTCTATCAAATATATATTTTAAAAATATGATAATATCCACCCATAAAGGAGATACAGTTCAGCTACTTCCTGTGCAACAGCCATTCAGCCCAAAAAGCATTTCAAAAGAAACTGCAGTAGCAACCTACTGAGGTTTCCTGAGGTTGCAGGCACCATGTACAATATATTCATGTTGGGAGTTATTTGCAACAGATATACGGCTCAGCGTCAAAACTGATCTTCCCTGCATCTTTTCAAGCAAATGTTTGGTATTAAGTTAAATCAGCAGAAAACGTTAGCAGCAGCATAGACCCATTTGCTCCTAAGTTGTATTGTGGCACAACAAGTGTTTCCAACTCAAACTATTTTGCCATAAGCCTTCGAGCTCCCACTTTTTTAGGCAAGCACATTTTGAGCTCTCCTGGTTGCAGAGAAAAGCTAAAAAAAACCACCATGAGCCCTAAAAGATAAGAAGGGTTTATGTTCATAATTTTTAAAGGTCTCCTTATTGTTAAGTCAGTTTTGTTATTTTTGTGGTTGACTCAATTTTTGAATGCTTGGGATTCAAGCTGTCCACAGTACTGTAGACAATTGTGTGTATGCATGAGACAGACAGACAGACGCACAAAAAAGTTTCACAGGAATAAAAAGATTCACTTAAATCCAGACAAATCTATAATTATAGCAACTCAAGGTAAGCATGTTGTTCACGTCTCATAACAGTGACCATTGATAGGAGGCCCTATGGGCAGATCTAAGGTTTTGAAAATGGGAGTGCAGATGGTGTGGTGCATTATTACATAAACACAATCCATATTTTTCCCTAATTAAAAAGAAATGAGAAGCTTTACTAATATGCTAGGAGCTTAGTACTATATTGTACCATTTAATTAAAACAAAAACAAATACAACTTTAGTGGAATGTGTACTAATTTGCTAGATTATATATAAATTTTAACAAACACAAGAAGCTAGGCAAAAAATAGTCAGATAGTCAAAAGATAGTGTCCTGTAGTCGTCATATTTAAAATGTACATCTTTTATTCAAATTTGTGAAACAAAATCTAATCTTGTTGAAGGTTTTGACAGTGCCTCCAATGTGTCACTTTGACATATGAGATAATATTACCACACTTGAGTTACGGTTTTTAGTTGGAGCTAAAAACAAATCTGTAGGGCCATGAACTAGGAGACAGACATTACCAGGAATGGCTCACAAACAGCACAACTGCAGAAGTTTGAAGGACAGGTTGAATAGTGGGACATTAGGACCATTAAAAAAGGAGAGAGGGTCATGAACACTTTCTGAATGAAGAAACATGAAAAGGAATCAGTAAATTTTAATGGAGCCATCAATTCAGTTGACTAATTGCTTCCTGAATAGAAGTGCCACTGCTTCTCCCAGACAGTTTTAAAGTTTGGGTAGAGCAGGAATCAAAGGGGATGTAACTATGCCACTGCACCTCCCCTAGATCTGCCCCTGAAGGCCCTCAGGATCTGAGGAAGGGCACCTTGTACCTTGAGATCCAAAATGTC